TTTAAAAGGAGAGCACATGAGAAACTCTCTCTCTGCTTGCCATTCTGCCATGTGACACCCCTGAGTCACTGTCACCACTACCAAGGCTCTCACCAGATTTGTTCCCTGGACTTTGGACTTCCCAGCATCCAAAACTAAAAGTAATAAATATTGTTTCTTATAAATTACCTGGTTCCAGGTATTTTGATATAATCAACAGAAACAGAATAATACACTTGGGTAAGCCTACATCTGGAGGTAAATCAGGGATAACCTACTCCATGCTCTGAAGCTAGGACATCCTGGTCACTAATTTACCCTTTGGTGCCATGCAGTAGGAACCTTTGGGGACATGTGGTAGGAAAGCAGCAGCACCAGAGATGTTAGTTAATTAACATCAGGGAAGCACTGGAATCACATTATAGTTAGATAGAAAGAAGTTTAGGTGAGCTGGAACTAATGATTTTGTAAAAGCTACACTTATAAATATATTTAACCAAAACTCCTGAAATACAAATAAAAAAAAAATTGGTAAGGGAAGATAAGCTAGAGGACACTATGCTATCGTTATTAATTTGTTAAATGATAAAGACATAGATACTGGTCTGCTTTATATATTGCTAGGAAAAAGTAACCTAAGACTGACTCAAAGTAAGCTGGGATAATAAAAAAAAAATGTATAACTTTTAAACAGCAGACAAAAATTTGATTTATCCAATGGTAAGTGGGTAGATAGATATAAAAAAAGAAACAAGAAGAAAGTATGAAAAGTGTAAAATATAAAATAAAGTAGCAGGCATTAAGTTTTAATATTAAAGTGACTAAAGTAAATGAATATGGGTTAAAATCACCAATTAAGTAACAAAGATTATTCAGGCAGTATAAAAGTAAGATTTAGGAATAGTTTGCCTAAAGGAAACACATTTGAACAAAATGAAACAGAATGGCTAAAAATAAAGAGATGGAAAATCAGATATTGTGAAGCAAATATAAAGCAAAAAAAATACACACACACACACTCTTTTATATTTTATATATATAAAGCCACTGTTGAATTTTTAATATCAGACAAGATAGAAGATAGAATCTGGGGCAAAATGCATCATAAGAGATAAGAGAGATGTTAAAATAAATCAAGAAGTTGTAATAATCCTGAACATATACACAGCTAACAACAAGGATTTAAAATATATAAAACTACAACTGATAGAATTATAGGGAGAAATAAACAACTGTAGCTGGTGATTTTAACATATGCTCTTCAGAATTGATAGATCAAGCTGACAAAAGCTAAATCATGCTACAGAAGAAATATGTGTATGTGTTTGTATTATTAGTCTTATTTATATATATGAAAAACATATATAAACTTCACGTCCGAACACAGAATATGTGTGCTTTTTGCATACATGGGGAATATTAAAACTGTTTATGAATCCAACTACAAAAAATTCTCAAAAATTCCAAACAATAACTACTATATGAAATATGTTTTCAGACTAGACTGCAATAAAGTTAGAACCCAATAACAAACTATAGCAAAATAAAGCTTCATATACCTGAAAAGTAAAAAGACATATCACTTTCATAATTCTTGTGTTAAAGAGGAAAGCGCAATTATATATAAATGACAATGGCATTCTACATGCAAAAAATTGTGATGTGTAGTTAAAGCAATATTCAGAAAAAAATTATAGCATTAAATACACTTAGAATGCAACAGTTATTAAAAATAAAAGTACTAAGTACAACTTATCAACAACAAAAAAGAAGAAAGAGGGAAAAATAAAGATATTGGTAGGAAACAGTAAAATAATTTTGGTTTTCTTTAATTTAAAAAGAAACAAGAGGAGGGAGAAGAACTATGGTTACTAGAGGTGAAAAAGGGGAGGACGAGGAGGGATAGCGAAAGGCTGATTAATGGACACAAAACTACAGCAAGATAGGAAAAATAAACCCTATTGGTGTACAGGCAACCCAGAATTCAATAATCAATAATGTTTTACTGCATGTAACCAAACGTCCAGAAGAGAGGAGCTCAAATATGCACGTCACAAAGAAATGATAAAGTTGTGCAATGAAGAATAGCCTAATTATCCTGAATAGATCAACATGCATTGTATACACGTAGTGAAATACAACTCTGTATCCCATAAATATGTACAATCAGTATGTTTCAATAAAAATATTTTTGAAAAAGAAACAATTAGGAATGTAAAAGCTAGCATGACAGATAAAATTCTGGGAAAAAACTAAAATATTAAAATAAAGAAAATATTTAAATAAAAGAAAGAATATAGAAAGGGGTAACTAATTATAGATATAAAATATCTTAATATTTATAAACATAAGTTAATGAATAGAAAATATTTATATTTTTAAATACTTTAATATTTAAAAATATGTCAATGAATTTGTAAAAAATCCTCTATGCATTTTTTCCAGTGAATTAACAAGGGTATTGAAATGTTTTCTTGAATAAGTTGAAAAATGAAGGAATTTTTGAAGAGAAGAGTCAGATGGACCTGATTTAGTCCATCAGTTTATGTATATTCTAATAATACTACACTGAAGAAAAAAATTAGTTAGAAGATGGAATAGACCACGAAAGCCAAAAGCAGTCCAGAGTGTAAAGGCACAAATGTAGAAAATAATACTGGCCCTCTGACCAGAGAGAAGTGGGTAAGTGAGCATTTAGTAAAAGTGATAGCTAACCTTTCAATTAGTTGGAGAAATTAAATTAGACACCTATCTTACATTGTGCAACAAATTCCAGTATATGCTTGATGCCATTCATCTACTAAATATCTAATCACTAACTATATGCCAAGAACTGTGGAAAGACTAAGTATACGTTAATGAGCAAAAACAGAGGAGCTTAGAGTCTAGTAGAAAGATACACAGCAGGCCAAAAGTAGGATTAATTGAGATAATGCAGTCTAATGTGCACATACTTTGGCTTAAAATAATTAAGAGAATACTGTAATACAAGACTTTGTAAAGACTTCAAAACACTATGACCCTCCACACCCAACCCAGGTTTTGTGCATAATCTTGTGAAAAATACTTGGTGCTATATGGCATTTGGACATGTGTGTAAATCACACAAAAAAACTTAAGACTGTGATAGTGGCAGTGTACAAGATACAAATACCATGAAAGAGTACCACACAGTTGATAATCAGTGCCAATCTCCTAAAGAAATGAATACATTAATATGTTAAGTATAAAACAAAAGAGGATAAAAGACTTAAAATGAAATGATGTGATATTTGTCTATTCTTGAGGTGGGGACAAACCACTAATTCTTAAAACCAGAATTAACAGAAAGCTACAGATTTGGTTACTCATGCAGCAGTCTATACTGGGGTCAGCAAAATTTTTCTGCAAAGGCTCAGGTAGCACATAAGTTAGGATTTGCAGGCCACAAAATCTCTGTTGCAACCATTCATCTTTGCTGTTATAGCATGAAATGAGCCACAAACAGTAAATAAAGAGATGGGCATGGCTGTGTTCAAATAAAACTTTATTTCCCAAAAAGGCAGTAGGCCAGACTTTACCAATATGTCACAGTTTGCCAACCCCTTGTCTAGATCATGCAGTTGCCTACACAATAGTGCATGCTTAAAACAATATTTATGAAGCATTGAGTCCTTGGTTCAATTTGGAAAAAGGAGGATATAACCTTCCATACACAAATTTTATTTCTGCTTTTTAGGCTCTTCAGTTTCCATAACAGAATACAGACCCTTCTTCTAGCTCAGAGTAGGGGTCATACTCACTTGACAACAAGAAAGAGCTATATTATAGGCATACAACCTAGACTCATGGCCTCCAATATTTGTTGAAATTGGATTGAGAGTTGAAACATTCAAGGGAGATTTCCTAAAGAACAAGTAGTCTATCTACTCTACTAGATAACCTACATTCTTGAACCAAATCAGAGCTGCAGGGAAACTTGTACCTAGATTATACTTCTTCCTTCCGCTCAGCCACTTCCTGCAGAAGACATTTTCTCTTTCTGCATTGCTCTTAGGTTTGAAGGTACAATTAATTGAGAAAGTCTCTATAAGAAAGGGGGAAGTTGTAATCAATGACACATTTGTCTTCAACAATGGAGGATGCACCCCCAAAATGATGATGGACAAACTGCTTGGGGACCTATTCTGTTTTACATGTTGGGGTCTGAGTAGTTAATTTTGAAAAACAGTTTATGTGGTTATCCACACGTGCCCTCTCAGGGTAAGTTTTTCATCCTTCTCTGCCAGCTCCTTGCCTCAGGAGGCTCCACAGACTTCATGACTGTACATCCAGGCTTCCTTGCCTGGGTTTGGCTGAGGAAGCAGCAGGAGAGCAGGGTCAGTGTTTATCACCCCTGCCCCAGGATGCAGTTCTTAGCAGTGGCTGCATCCTGTAAAGCTGCAGATGTCAAAAGGCCCTCCTTCAAGAGTATTTCTTTACTTCTCTTTACCCATTAAGCCAAAAGATGGTGACAGCTTCCTGCTGCTGCCACTCCCTGTGTACTTAACCATCCCTTGTTAGTTTTATTAACTCTGTTCAAAATCCGTTCATTAGACTCTCCTCAATTAAACCCTTTGGGTATGGCATCTGATTCTTATTAGGATCCTGTCTATTTTAGGAAAGGAAAGAAAAAAAAGAGCCTTTTTAGAAAATTATTGCCTTAGAGGAAAGCTCATCACCAGGTAACAAAACATCCATAAAAATGAAAAAAATATAACTTGAACTTATCACAAAACTGCATTTAAGTTAAAGCTTGAAATTACGGGCTAGATAAGTCAGAAAGTGCCATTATGACAAATACTGAGCATTTAAATTAATGATTGTGGAATGAGATCTTCTTAATAAGTTTTACCTTGAAATTCAATGAGACTCAAGACAATCTGTTACTTTAAAACTTGCATTTGAAAATTGATTATTCTTAATATATTATTCAAACAAAATACATTGTTAATAATGAAATGGACAGGTATAAAGAAATATTTTGCAGATCTATGGCTTACCTCTTTGAATTTGTGACTGAGTTTGTTGGTGTCCAGGTCTGATGGGGAAAACATGTCTTCGTTCTCAGGCAGCTCAAAGACTTCAATAGCCATGTCGCTGCCAGGAAGAACAGGTCCTGCCTCATCCTCCTCTTCATCTGTGGCATATTCTCCTGTCTAAAAGGAAGGGAATTTCAGAAATCCAGCTGTCCTTACACCAGGTAAAGGTGGGTTATTTGAAAATGTTTTGTAAGAGAGAAATAAAACGTCACCAAATGATAAAAGTGTAAGTAGGCTTTTTAAGTCAAGCATGCCTCACGCAGTCCATGTTATGAACAAATGTTAGTTTGAAGATCCAAAGTGACAAGTCTATGCCATATAGAAGTGCTTTTCTAACAATCTAATAGTATCAGTAGCACCTTTAGTATAGCAACAGGATTTTTTTTCCCAATCTGAGTATTTGATGGTTTTAGTAAGTAAAATTATGTTGCTATGGGAAGTAATTTCCTTAAATTCCCCTCCTGTGTGAATAAGCCACCCAATACTGGGAGCCAGGAAGAAGGAAGGGGAGATCAAAGATTCATAAAATTCATTGAATCTTAATTCATAGAATTAAGAGACCTTAATTCAGCCTTGCAAAGGCTTAGAATATTAACTTTCCTAAGCTTTAGCATTCAATCAGTACTCTTTTGTTTGTTTGTTAATTGTTGTGTTGGTTAACTAGTGAGCTAAAGGACAAACCAAAGGTTTATAACTCACACCCTGCACATATGTATTGTTTTGCCTGTGCAGTTATTTATTAAATGAGTATTTTGTCAATGTGAAAAAAATTTCACATAAAATTGTAGAGTTTTAGCTTTCTTGAAAAAGCCAAAGATCTGTCAATATAGGCATATTGGGACATGATAACAACTGTCTAGAGTTAGTGGTGGCTGCCCCTTTCATGCGGGTCATACACTTTCTCATATACCACAGCCTCCCTAACTCCATATTGTTCTATGCTGTCAGCTTCACTTTTATAATACCCGCAGGCCCCTGTAGGTATTTTGAGTTCATGACCCCTAGAATAAATGTTCCTCTTTGACATTAACTTCCTTACCATTATTAGAAGGTAGCTCCTTCACTGGCAGCATCAGGCTATGAGACTATAATTCAAAATAATTGTTTGAAATCTATACCTTATGATACAATTTAAAGATAAATCACTGATTCATAGGATTAAAAGACAAAGTTCGTTTAATTCATCTCTGTTCCTTCAGGTAGTACTTTATCTAACACACAAAACACAGATAGGAATTCATATTGCCTCTAAAAAGAACTTTCATAAACAGTGCACTGAATGATCTATTCCTTTGATTAAACAGGCTGAGCATCTGACTGCTGTTTTTTCTTTTGTTTCTGTACTATATTCTTCTTGCAAAAGCTAATCGCTTTTTTGTTTGTTTGTTTGTTTTGTTTTAATATCTGTACATGAAGGAAATCTGGTCATTAACGTCAATGTAATGATTCCTCATGTCTGGAAGAGCATTATTAAATTGCCTCCAGACCTCTCTTTTTCAAATAAAATAATTCTAGTTTCCTCAACAGATCTGAATCTCTCTCTCTCTGTAATTGTCTCTGTGGTTGTACTCTGACTTCTCTCCAAGTTCTCCACATTTTTCTAAGTTGTGAAGCATGGAGATAGATGCAATTTCTAATAAGGAATCTGAGGGTTTATCGTCCGTGATGAGCATTCTGCCTCAGCATCCTTCGGACTCTGCTTCCCCACACAGAGGCGATCATCACGAAGAACTTGACTTTGGTGGCATTTGTATATGGAAGTAAGCTCAGGATATGTCATGCACAGCAGTGATTTTCCAAATTGGCTACAGGTTAGTTAGAACCTTTCTTTTTTTCAAATAAAGTCAGAGAGGCTTTGATTGAAAGGAAAAGAGGTTGGTGGCCTCCATCATGATCCTATAACACTCATCAGTAACTGGGACTCTAGGACTCTTTAGTCTGAAATATTTAAACTAAAAATACCATTCCAAGTGTCATTGGCACAACTGGCAGGGGAAGGTGGCTGAAAAATGAGGGCTGACTGGTTCCAGATAGCTTCTGTTTGTTAGTACAATGAGATACTACAAATCTTAAAAGGACTCTAATTTCTGATTTGGTATTTTTTTGTGTATTCTGTAAATTAATCTATCTCCTATATATATGTGTATATATATTTTAGAACCAATAAGTGGTTTGGAAATCTCAATGATGTTAATTAATAGTAATGTAGCAAGGCTGGTAAGTAAACAATCTCAAGATACCTTGTTGAAAGTTTTCACGTAGAGGTATAAAACTATGTGCTTGTTTTTAACCCTATAATTACAACTAGCAGCAAAGTCAAGCCTTTATTACAAAGGCTTACACCAGGTATATAAAATTCAGTTCTATATAATCAATTTGATGAATTAGTATGAATGAATCAATAAAATCTTCACCTAAATATAAAGTCTGAGTAAGCCATAACAATGTGGTACATTTTTAACATTGGTTGAAATGAACAGTTTGAATTTCCTTTGCCAGCTTGAAAATAAATATATGTTCACTATATGTGAGAGAATTAATACAATATCTGCCTAGGATGGCGCCTGGCATATAACAGAATCTCAACAAATATTTTTAAAACAATAAATCCAAGAATGCCAACTGCATTTACGTGGTAATATCTAGAACTTTCTAAGGACATTTTCAATAACAAGAAAATGAACTGTAGTTATTTGTTAAGATGGCAGTATTCTGTCACACATATTTTTAACGTCCTTACAGTGAATAACAGGATTAGGATGTATGCAACATATGCAATTCTTTCATTTGAGTATAGTTCTGGCTTTGCTATCCATATACACTTCATCGAAATTACATTCTTAAATGTAAGCTCTAAGAATTCTTCTTAATTCTTTTATTTTTTGACTTCCCCAGTCTCCTCTCCTTCCCAATACCCAAATTAACTGCAATCCTGCTAAAATTCCTATTCATTTCACCTTTCCATTTACTAAAATTTTCTCTTTCCAATTTGCCTTATAAGTATCCTAAGGACAAAATATGCTTTCACTGTCTTGATTCTACTTATTACTTATTATAGGCTATGAATAAGGTGTTCAAAAACTTTATGCTGTCATTCTCACTTGCTGATCATTTGCCATTCCCATCTTGAATAGGCTTTGGAATAAAGGATGCATTTAAAATTACAGAACCTCATAAAATCTAGAAATAAAAGAAAGTTACATTTAACTATATCTTTATCTTTATTGAAAATGAAAATTATTTTTATGGTTACTCTGCAAGTAAAATAAATGATATGGAATGATATGTTAGCAGAATGTTATAAACCTCAAAATTGGATTAGATTGAATCTGACATTTACAGAGGAAGGCTGTACAAAAAACAATTGCTACAACAAAGTATTTCCATTGGTAGTTAGCTCCTTCTTCTATTTCTGGCCAAATTAAAAATCTTTAAAGTAACCAGGGATTTTTGAAATTCTTTCTCCCAACCCACAAATCCACTTCAAAAGTGGCAAGAATGAGAGAGATAATAAATGTTTCTTTTCATACCTTTGTCTACCTTTTTGATCAATATCTTATACTTTATAATAGCCCCATAAAAAGAGACAAAAAAAAGTAAACTGCAATTCTTTTGCAACCTATGTGTGCCCAGCATTGTACATTTCTCAACAACTATATGACATGCGTGTCACTGTACTACCTTAATTTGAGAAACTAAAAGTCAGAGACCTTACCCAAGGTTAGGCAGTTAGTTAAGTTGTTGAAGCTACATCTAACATATTGCAAAGCCCATTCCCATGCTCTTTCTTCTATTCTATGCTGCTTCCAATCTACAGAAACTAAAGCTTTGTAGGGAAAAATAAAAAATCAAAAACACATTCCTTTCATATTTCTCTAACTCCAAACCCTGTTGCATAATCCTGATATGTTGAGATTCACCTTCTACAACTTTAAACGTTATCATTCAAGTCACTTTGAAGACATGCACCTGTTTCTAATGGGTTCCAAAGTTTTTGTCCTCTACTTCTCTCATAATATACTTGCCCCCAGCAAGTACATAAATATCCCCTTCGAAAGGATGGGGAGCAGTAGTTGGTGGGCTAACTGCAATACAGAGAGGAATCATTAAAAAACACACATACCATTTTACATTATCTTAAACCACAGAAGTGTTAATTTCTTTGCCTATCTTTTAATTGCAAGAACAAGTCTTCCTCTTGGCTTGAGTCTGCTGACTGATGTTTCATGCACTCTATCTTATATAAACCACAACCATAACAGATAATTTATAAAGTTACTGTAGTGTCATTAAAATGGTTAAGGAAGATCCTTGCAAAGCAAAATGGGCGGAAAACTCCTCCAGATTTTTACAGTTTGCCCCTATCTTTTACATTTCCTTCTTATGCTTAATTTTCTTGAGGTACCAGTATTTATTGAGTCTTCCGAAAGTATTGTATCTAGTTCTCATAGACAAAATAACTTCCCTGACACTCATAACAGAGCACTTAATATTTTATTAAATAACATAATTATAAGAACAGCCAACCGGCTCTGCCTGTTGGTAAACATACTTTTGACTGGTGGGAGCAGTGTGTGTAGACATACTACAGCCTGGAACACTGATGAGAGCTGTAGATATCACTTTAGGTTTTACAGAAGGAACAGAGAATATTATATCGATGAGTTTGTTATGTGGGGATCAATGAAAGAATCTTGGTTTTGAAGTCATTTAGATCTGGGTTCAAATCCTGGCTATGAGACCTTGGGAAAGTTGGCTTCTACATCTAAGCTTCAATTTCTTCATTTATAAAGTGAAAACAAAAATACTTCCTTAGCATAACAAGGTTGTCATGAGATTAAGATAGATGGTGCCTGTGAAATATTTAACACAAGGTCTGACACATAGTTGGTGCTCAAAATAAGAGATTGCTGCTGCTGGTGGTGGCACTACTATAATAACAACATGCTAAAGCCTCTCCCATTTCTATCTTAAGACCAGATGCTTGTTATGCTTTGGTCTCATAAATATAATTTCCTAGATCTTGACACATGAATGTTTTATAAACAAACTGGTCATTTCTGAAGTAAAACTTTTCTTTTTCCTAAACCTGCTCCTCTTCTTTTATTCCCAGTTTT